GAAGTTCTTATCTCACTGGTGTAGATAAATAAATAAACAAACTAACCAGCTTCTTTAGGAAATTTAAAGTGTGGATTGGTATTAAAAAAGTTACCAATTTTTCCCCTCAGACTTGCGTGTTACTGGCAATAATCGAGCAGGACCGATAATTTGAAACGTCAATAAAACGTCGCTATGCGCATGCCTTCGTGCAAGAAAGTTGCATGCAAGAAAGTTGCTGCAAGTAATTGCAGACTGTAATACGTGCTTCACGAAATACTCTTGCACGAAGGCATGCACATAGCGACGTTTCGTGCAAGTCTATTGCTGTTTCAAAATATCGGTCCTGCTCGATTTTTGTTGCCAGTTGCATGCAAGTCTGAGGAAAATATTGGTAACTTTTTTTTTACCAATCCACACTTTAAATTGTTTGATTTTTAAAGTCATTTGTTTGTTGTTAATTTGTATTCTAAATTCTATTACATAATATATATTATAATGTCGTGTGGCTTAATTTTAAGTTTAATTTTAATTGTGCTTTATAATATTTTCTCTACGACTACTTAAGAATAGTAACATTCTAGTGTACTTTTTGATCATAGAAAGGATGTTTTTCTGCAATACTGTGCGAGAATATTCCCACTCTTGTTTAAGAATGGTCACAAGTAACGACATCTCCTGGCTGTTTACTAAACGTAAAAAATTTAAAAAGATTTAAATATTACTGTATTATTTATTAATTAAAAAATAATAGCAGTTGTATAATTAAGGTTTAGGCCCAAAAAATTAGTTATATTTATTGTTTTTCAAATATACAAATCAAAATTATAATAAATTTGATATTAAAATGATAAACCAGTTACCTACTATACCGGCTTTGAAGTTTTGACAGATTCAAAAAGTTTAAAAAAGACCTTTAAAATGTAGAAAAAGAATAGATGTTGACATAGATTACTTGTAAAATTAGTTTTGTATTTGTTACAATGTTATTTTTTTTATTAGTTAGTGTAAATAACTATTTTTAATTATAATAAAGATTTAGGCATACCATTTGTTTAAATTTATTATAATTTACATTATAAAATTGTGACGGCACAAAATGGTTTGACAATACAAAAAACTTAAATGTCAAAAACTGCTTTCTTCTTTTAAGCGTTACTATTCTTACGTAGTCGTAGAGAAAATAATGTCTGAAACACGTTTGGAATGGCATATTCCACTCTCGTAAAACCGTCACACTCGCCTTCGGCTCGTGTGTCAAATTTTTCCTCGAGCGGAATATGCTGTATTCCAAACTTGTTACAGAATGTACTATTATAATTTTTTAAATTTTTCTTCGGTTGGTGTGATTGGAATTGAACTGAAAACCTGTCAAAACAAAAAATATGACTTTGTGATGGAATTTAAAAAAAACCTTACATGTAAACAATAGTAGATTATGTTATAAGGAGTAGAAGTGACTCTTTTTGTGGTGAGTACATAGATTGACGGCCGAAGCGTAGCTGAGGCAGGCAACTGTACGAAGCACATAAAGAGCTTCTACTCCAAATAACATATACAATTTTTTTTTCAAGGGCATAATATAAATAGGATAAGCAATAGAATTATTTTATTTACTCATAACTCGTGTGGGATAAAATTTTGGCTAAAAGCATTAGAAATTATTGATAAAAACTAAAAAAACTAATAAACCTTACTTACAATGCCGATAAATATCCGAAACTAAAACCACAGAACATAATACTAAAACTAAACACTGCTCTGTCAAAATGCTGCGCTTGAATTAATTTTGACGTACTGACATTTGTTTGAAGTTTCGACATTGGCGACTCGTCTATCATCATAATATTATACTAATAAACTAGTTTTTCTTTATTTCGTTCAATTAAAATTTAATAAATAATCACTAATATTCCGTGCGATTATAATTAATATAATTAATACATCGTGATTGCTTTGTATGAAATGCTAAATTAATTTTATTATTTGACGTTTATTGAGTCACCTATGGATTTACTTCTATCCCTAGGCTTTTTTGAGTTTTTTGTCTGCCGCTAATGAAAAAGACGCACTTCAACTATCTCTATACATGCATATAAAGTTGTATATCATGGCCGCTTGAAAAAAAACACATTTATTCACATTTTTATCCAATTTGTGATTTTTTTGCCTGCTACATTTTGAAATACCACCACCATCTTTTATTTTTCCTATGGCCGCCATATTGGAATTTTACAAGGTTAGATAGAAAAAAAATCAAGAAATCCAACAATGCATGAAACTACATGTTATGGCTGTCATGATAAAAAAAAAGATGGTGATGGTAACTTAAAACATAGTAGCAAAGAAATTGTATGGAAAAGGAGATTGATGTGTATACTTACATGTAAAACTTACTTTGTTTCAAAATGCTCAGGAATAACAAAGTTATAACGATTTCTATTTTATGGTAATAGGCTTGCAACTTTTCTCTAATTTAACCGACCTCGAAGCTCGAAAAAAATACTCATACAAATATACTTACAAGTGCACCCTGTATACAGGGTGAGTTTTAAGTTGACGCATTCCTTTTAACAGCGTGTAGAAATCAGATAGACAAATAAATATTTTAAGTAACTTTTTTTATCAAAACTCAAAAATAAGCGAGTTATAGCCCTTCAAAGTTTAATTAAATTTTGAGCCGGTCCTGGCTATTGTTAACAAAAAAACATAACCATAAAAATAAAAATAACAAAATAAACAATGCAAAATGTCATCTATGACAAGTTGATTTAAATGGTTATGTTTGTTGTCATTGACAACAAACATAACCATTTAAATCAAAATGACATTTAGCAATGAAAAATGTCATTATTTACTTAAGTTTTTTTGGGCCTCAATTATTGTTAAAAATGTTTCATTTTGGTTTAAATGGTTATGTTTGTTGTCATAGATGACATTTTGCATTGTTTATTTTGTTATTTTTATTTTTATGGTTATGTTTTTTGTTAACAATAGCCAGGACCGGCTCAGAATTTAATTAAATTTTGAAGGACTATATCAATCTTATTTTTGAGTTTTGATAAAAAAGTTACTTAAAATATTTATTTGTCTATCTGATTTCTACACGCTGTTAAAAGGAACGCGTCAACTTAAAACTCACCCTGTACATGAAAGGATATAAACTTATAATTATATATTATATACATTATTATAATAATATACGTATAATATATTATACGTATATGTATAAAAGTCTGTAAATAACTCAAAATAGTCTACAACATGAAAAAAAATCAGAAAATTAGATAAATATTATGTTAATTCTAGAGGCATCGTTTTTCAGTTTGCAAAGAAAAATATAGCATTATAAAACATTTTACTCACAATTGTACTTTACTACAAAAATTCCTCACAGACCATGGAATTTCTCACAAATGTAAGGAATTACTAACAGATTGGCAAGACTGCTTATGAGTCTTATAATATAAAAATCTTGCATCTACACTTGAAAAAATATATGATTTTTATAAAAATTTTATTTGCGTAATAACTTTTTATTTAATAAAGCACAAGTTGATATAAACACGTTATTTGTGTTTTTCTGTCTACTGACTTATACCCTTTCTACAATCAGCAATTCAATTAAAACTGAGCAGGATTCTGTTGAATTATTCCACCCAGTTAAAATGTATAATTAATTATTTGTATAATTTTAAAAATATACCAAAAATGTACTGTAACATAATATACAACAATTAAATGAAAATGTACCTGAACTTTAACTTTTTCAATAATTTTACAACTAAAATTTAAGTAAATAATTTAGGAACTACCTAAAAAGTACACTTACTATGGAAATAATTGTATCACAGCAAATTTGATTTACTTCTAATATAACATTTAAAATTTAGAATATTAAGTTAACCAAACATTCATTCAAAAATAAATAGAGGTGGCGAGTTCCAGGTAAATTTAAAATTTAGAATATTAAGTTAACCAAACATTCATTCAAAAATAAATAGAGGTGGCGAGTTCCAGGTAAATTTACACTTACATTAAAATCCATAAAGTAAAAAATAAATAACAACATATTCAAATACATCAATTCAGCCTTAAATCATATTGCACACTTTGCAAAGAGATCTACAATGTAAAAAAATGCTGAGCAATAAGCTTTTAATTAGGTGTTATAATACTTTTAAAACCCTGGATAATTAAAAAATATCTATATTTATTGTGTCCCTTTACAAAGGCAAAAGTTCTACATTTAAAAAATCTAGGATTTGTTAGATACATTAAATAATTTATTGGGACAAAATTTATTGTCTCCCAATAAAATGTCTACAATGTATACAATTAAAATTAAAAAACATATTTAGTTTTTATATTTTGGTTAATAAAATGTTTGGTAAATATGTACATATATGTATATGTAAATGCATGAAAATTTGTGTACTTATTTTTTTAAAACATTGCTGTCGTTAATATTATGTAAAGTTTAGCTACTAAATCTAGTTTACAAAATTATGGAAAATCGTAAAATTAAAATTTTATATAGCCTCTGGAAATTTTAAATAAAACAAAAACTTCAAGTAGGAAAATAGCATTTTTATGCATGGTTGGGAAATATCACCAAAGATTTTTTGAAAAACGCATAATACACTAATAATATTTTGTTCCTTTGGGTACTTCAGGCTTTTAACATTACCATTTTTTTAGGCACTATGTTTAAACAAAATGTGCAATATATTTAAGAAAATCAAATAAAATAAATATAATAAGAAAATATTTTATTTTATAAAATGGTTAAAATAAAACATACAGAAAACAAATAGTGGTTAAAATTACAGCATTATCCTATGATATATCACATCACTGGTATTTCTGAAATTGTCCCTCTATTGTATTTTTTATAGCAGAGATTTATTGTTCTAAGTTTTACTGTTGATTAAAATATGTTAATTACAAAATACTATACAATCTTCCATATGGCAAAAACTCTCAACTTTAAGTTCCCAATTGATATGTATAGGGAATGTTCACACCTTTTGGTTATCATTTTTCTGTTCCTCTGTTGATGTGGTTATTGTAGAACTACTTTCTATACTTCTGTAAAGAATTGTTTCCTACTAATTATGATATAGCAATATAGCACTAATTTTTTTAACACAATACAATAGTTGTTTATTGCTAAAGGAAGCCCCCCTGCTGAAAAAAACTGATCGAAACTCGATCTTTTTTTATCATATTTGATCATGGTCCAGAAAATTCTCGATCCTTTTTTATCATATTTAATGAGGTTCTAGAAATTCTCGATCCTTTTTTATCATTTTCGATCAGATTTCGCAGTCGATCCTATTTGATCATAAAAACACGATCGAGTTTCGATCCTTTTTTATCATATTTGATCAGATTTCGAAGTCGATCCTATTTGATCATGAAAACACGATTGAGTTTTGATAACATATTATCGAAACTCGATCGTGTTTTCATGATCAAATATGATCGACTACTAGGTTCTTGAAATTCTCGATCCTTTTTTATCATTCTCGATCAGATTTCGAAGTCGATCCTATTTGATCATAAAAACACGATCGAGTTTCGATCCTTTTTCGAACATTTTTGATAAGGTTTTCGTGGTCAAAAAGGATCGTTTCGATCCTGTTTTCATGATCAAATAGGATCGAGTTTCGATCCTTTTTGATAACGAAAACAGGATCGAAACTCGATCCTTTTTCGATCATTTTCCATAATGTTTCCATAATTAATTCTAAAATAAAAGATACAATTTTCAAAACATGAAAACTTTATTGGGCACTTTCAAAAAGATCGGATGACAACGATGATGATGATGAAATTCGTAATTATAATTACATTTCCTTCCTTATAAGAAAAAGTAGTATTATGTACTACTTTTCATGCGCTACCTTATGATGATTAATTAATGATACGAGGTATTGCGCATAAGCCATCGATATATTTAAATTAAAAAAGTTCCAATAAAATAAAATCTTGACATACTTGTCTAGGGAAATCTAGGGATTTTTTTGTAAAAAATCTGGGGAAATAAAAAAATATCATCTGGCAACCCTGTCTGTAATGTGTCTATAATCTGTGCACGTGCTTGTCATGTTGGTTAGTGTTTTTTGTTATCGATTTTACGGTTTTACTGTGGGTTTTTCTTTACTATAATAATTAAAAATTCGATGAAAAGTACTGATTGCCATCAAACAAAAAAAACTTATGATTCCCGAGTTGCGGCAATTTTTTATGAATTTTGTTTTTTCGGCCCCTGAAAAGTAAGGTTATATATACAAATTTTACTATGAATTTATTTGTTATAGGTAAATTTAAAGACAGCAAGATAGCAAGATGTCAATTAATTTAACCGCTGATGGACCATGTGCTTTTGTTAAATTTTGCGACACGGGGCATAAAAAAAGGGTGTTGCTGTCGGAAATTTCAAATTTCGATGCAAAAACTTTCTCTCGAAACAAGAAATACTTTATTGAACGTGAGGGAGCAACTGCGCAATGCGTTGTTTCTTTTTTTGCAAGTAAATAATTAATTTTTAGTCTTGTATATAGTTATACAGGGTGATTCAGTTTTAACCTACCAGGGAAAAATGTTCCTCCCATTATCCTGATTCAGAAAAATATCACACATAAGTTGACAAAGAAAAAACGTTTTTTCGTCATATCTTCTATGAAAATGATAAAAATTAATCATAATTTTGTATACATCCTTTCATATGAAAGCCCTATTTTTGAAAAATAAAATTGTTAAAATTTGATACAACATTGGCGTGCAAGAAAAAAAGTACGCCACAATATATGAGCTAAATCAAAACGAAAATACAAATCCAAAAATCGCCCAAGGAAAAAAGGTATGAATGAAAATTTGCAAGATTATTTTGACAATATTAAAATAGTAATATAAATATATTCCCTAAAGGGACACTTTTTTTTGTTTTAGAAAAAGGATAAAAATTTCATCACCATCGTCATCTGATATTTTTGAAAACGAAAATGTCCAATAAATTTTTCATGTTTTGTAAATTGTATCTTTTATTTTAGAATTAATAATGGAAACCTTATGAAAAATGATCGAAAAAGGATCGAGTTTCAATCCTGTTTTCGTGATTAAAAACGATATCGAACCTCGATCCTATTTAATCATAAAAACAGGATCGAAACTCGATCCTTTTTGAGCACGAAATCAGGATCGAAACTCGATCCTTTTTCGATCATTTTTCATAAGGTTTCCATAATAAGTAAAAGTAGTACTATATACAACTTTTCATACTCTTACCTTATGACAGTAGTCTGAAAAGAGAGACCCAAAAATGACTTATCCCCTTATTCCCCGAAACCACGGAATTATTGTTGTGAATATTATTTTATAAAATATATGACTGTTATTATTATAATTACGAATTTCATCATCATCGTCGTGGTCATCCGATTTTTTTGAAATACAAAGTGCCCAATAAAGTTTTCAAGTTTTGTAAATTGTATCTTTTATTTTAGAATTAATTATGGAAACCTTATGAAAAATGATCGAAAAATGATCGAAAAAGGATCGAGTTTCGATCCTGTTTTCGTGATCAAAAAGGATCGAAACTCGATCCTATTTGATCCAGAAAACAGGATCGAAACTCGATCCTTTTTGATCACGAAAACAGGAGACAAAATCCTTATCAAAAAGGATCGAGTTTCGATCCTGTTTTCGTGATCAAAAAGGATCGAGTTTCGATCCTGTTTTCGTGATCAAAAAGGATCGAAACTCGATCCTATTTGATCCAGAAAACAGGATCGAAACTCGATCCTTTTTGATCACGAAAACAGGAGACAAAATCCTTATCAAAAATGATCAAAAAGGATCGAGATTTAAACTCGATCCATTTTCGATCAGTTTTTTTCAGCAGGGCCGATATAACATAACAAAATATTGTTTAAATTAAAATATAGAAGACTTACTTGGACGGTTCTGTAGTAGAACTCTCTTTTTGTTTTGTACTCTCCAAAACTGTTTCTGGCACCTGATCTCCTGCAGCACACTTCATTGCTTCATCATCATTTAGCACAGCTTTGATCTCCAGTGGGTTTTCTACAGTTTTCGGGGTTTCTACTGGTTGTTCTTTTTTGGAAGGCTGTTCTTCCTGATTTTCAGCAATGCTTTCAACTTTAATGTCATTTTCTGCTACAGCTTCGGTTTTGGACTGTGTCGCGCTGCTGCCTTTGTCTTTGTTGCCTTCAAAGACGTTTTTAAAATTGGCTTCAAAAGAGGCGGCGCTGAAATCCGCCCACCCTCCCACGTTAGCATCGGAATTTGCGTTGTCGCCTGTGCCCCATGGATCTTGAGTTACAACGGATACGACTGGCGGGGCTGGCTTGGGAGAGGTCCACGCTAAAGAAAAAATATTACCGTTTATACAGGTTGCTTTTTAATTGATGACCTAGGCTGTAAACATTTTTTTTTGGAACTGTCTTTAAAATTTGCCTTTTATTTTAAGTGTCAAAACAACATTTTTTGTCTACAGAACGTATATTGTAGACATAGGCGGTAAAGTGACATTTTTTCAGACTGGACACTTCTTGAAGCCTGTAAAAATCACTTTACCTCCGTGGTTTACACGTTATTTTTCTTCCTACACAACGTGACTAAAAAAATATTAAAAATGCGAACAGCAAATTTTAACATTTCAAATTATTTATTTTTGACATGCACACTGCAAAACAGACAGCCCACAGTGGCATCTAAACACAGGTAGAAATAACTTTCTATAGAAATCTATAGGGTGGTAATTTAATATTAATAAATTGCTAATATTAGAATTTATTAGGCTAATTTTATATAAAATGACCCAAATAATGACTTTGTTCACAAAAAGTACAAAGAAACTTGTGTTATACTACGCGAAGAAATAAGAACCTCAAAAATCAACTATAATAAAAATAAATTTGAGTCTTTAAACAACAATCAAAAAAAGTGCTGGAAAGCCATAAATACTTTGATTAGGAAAAGTGACACTATCAAATCGCAGGAACTTCCTGTACTGTGTGACCAGGGCACCAGGGTTATGATTAAGGATCAGAAGGAAGTGGGTGATGTAATGAATAATTTTTTTTCAACAATAGGCAAACATCTTGCAGAAAGTATACCCGATACAACACTGGATGAGACTAATGAAAAATCAAGCAGAAGAACCTTTGAGTTCACTCCAGTAACAATAAATGAGGTGAACACTTTAGTATCCGGGTTGGATTCTTCCAAGACATCTGGCAATTATAACATAGATGTAAAAATAGTAAAAAAATGTAAAGAAGACTTGGCACCAGTGTTATGTAAAATTATAAACTAATCTCTTAAGTATGGGCAAGTTCCGGGTGGTATGAAAATAGCAAAAGTAATTCCACTATTCAAGGGTGGAGATAAATTTTCTGTAAATAACTACAGACCTATATCTGTTTTACCTGTATTCTCAAAAATAATGGAGCGAATTGTAAATTGTCAAATTATAGCGTATCTGAATAATGTGGGATTTTTTTCAGACTTTCAATATGGCTTCCGCAGGTTTAGCGACACTATAATAATAATAATAATAATACCGTTTATTTGTTCAAAAAAATACCATAATACAATAGTGTAGAACATGTCAAAAAAAAGAGAAATTAATTAATACAAAATCATTCATAAAATAAAGTGTAAATATACATAACAACAAAAAAAACAATAAAGAAATTGTATTAAACAAAAACATGTGTTATTGTTTGTTTGGGTAGGCCTTGACATTCCATAAATCAAAAGATTGAATTTGTCGGTCATTCATGAATTCTTCAGTGTGATAATAACATTTCTTCGACAATACAAGTCTCAGACGATTTTTTAATTTTTTGAGTGGAAGTTCTCTTACGATAGCAGGTAAGTGGTTATATATTTTTACTATTTTATAACAAACAATAACACTAGCTCGGCAGCAATTGACTTAATTACTGAGATACAGCTTAACCTTGATAAAAACTTAAAATGCGCGTTGGTTTCGCTGGACCTGTGCAAGGCATTTGATACAGTACGGCACGATGTGCTATTAAAAAAGTTGCGATTGCTTGGTGTGGGAAATGTGTGGTTCGAGAATTATTTAAGGGATAGAAGACAATCTGTTCAGATAGGTGACATAAAAAGTGATGAGAAAAACATAGACTATGGGGTTCCACAGGGCTCAATATTGGGCCCAACCCTATTCCTCATTTATATAAAATCATTCAACTAATTTATCGCTTAAAGGAAAAATACATTTGTTTGCGGATGATTTTACCCTTGTATACTTCTCGAATTCAGTGGACATTTTAGAGCGTTATATTGCTCAGGATATGAGCTTGATTTCTAGATGGCTAAAATCACATAAACTCACTTTAAATGTGGAAAAGTCCAAGTATATGTTTATATACAAGCATAAAATACCAAGTAGTCGACCGTTAAATATTGAGGGTGGTGTTTTAAAGTATAGCTCAAATATAAAGTTTTTAGGTCTTATAATTGATGAAACATTAACATTCTCTGATCACGTTAAAAAATAAGACAAAAAATATCTGACCCAATAGGTATTTTACACAGATTAAATGGTCGACTCCCTAAGAAGTATTTAAGATCAGTCTACTATGCACTTATTCACTCCCACCTTCAATATTTGGCGGCCATATGGTACTCAACACATGAAAAAGTACTAAAACCAATCAAGACACTTCAAAATAAATCAATTAAAAATCTTTATTGCTTACCCGTTAGATATCATACAGAGGATTTGTATAGAAACTTTAACATTATGCCTTTGGACAATATCTATAAATATCAAGTTTGTTCCTTTATACAGAATGTTGTAAATAATAAAAAACATTCTAATCTAAAAGTAATGTTTAGAAATCAAATACATAGCCACAATACCAGAAACGTTAATAGTTTAGACTTGATACAAATTGGCTCCAGGTATGGACAAAACTCTATTTTGTATAGAGGCTTAATTACATATAACACCTTGCCTAACGATGTCAAATCCTTAAATAATGTTAAGGCTTTAAAAAATTTCTTTCATCCAAGATAAATATAAATGTTTGTGGAGTATGTTGGATGCATGTATTCAACATGTACATATGTTATAATAAGCATAAGCATAAGTGTGTTTGTATAATAAGTTTATTTATTTTGTTAGTATATTTGTACAGATTGTAACTGAAATGTGATATTTATAAATGTGATAATGGTAATATGTAGTCAGTTAAGTTCAAATTTTGAAATTGTATTCAATATTAAATATGTATCGTGTAATAAACGACGTGTATATAGAGATGTCCCTCTATAAACAAGTTCTCATTGTTTCTTGGGATGAATAAAGTATTTTATTATTATTATTAAAAAGAATAATTTTGTTTAAACCAAATAAGTAAATTACAATCTTAAAAATCATATTTTTAAAATTTTAATATAATATTGTAGCGCAAGTAAAAAAAAAATTACCGCCTAGGTATTTGTGATCATTTTTGCAAGGCTAGCTGTAGAAACACATACTTTCTCACCCCCATATGTAGACGATAAAATTGAACTTTACCATAGTGTAAAAAGAAAGTATTTTACTTTTGTTACTATGTATGCAAGATACTTTTACATCCGTTGCAATATACACTAAATACTTTTTTCTACAACCGAGCGAAAAGTACAAATTTGCTCTTCCAAAAGAAAGCGCATAGTTGCACTTTTCCGAGGAACAAGCGTTTCTTTACTTTGTCGCTTGCCAAAAAAACATCGGTTGTAGAAAAAATCCTGTGTGTAATTCGAGCGCAAAGTGACATTGCCGATCTCGCGAGATAGCCGCGCTCCGCTACGCGTCGCTCAAAATTTCTTTTCACATTTTTAGTATTTTTTTTTATTTGAAGGTTCGTGGGTTTAAGAAGTAAAACAAAAACAACTTCCTTTTTTTAAGTTTTACGTCCTAAACCCACGAACCTTACTTCAAATAATAGAAAAATTTAAAGGATACATCATTGCAATATTTAGTAATTTTGGGATACAGTTTTTGAAAAAAAATTTGTTTAATACATGATTGCGAAATCGCTGTAGCTCACATAAAACTTTCAATCTTGAATGGCATTTTGCAATCTTGCATCAATAATATCTATAGACCAAACAAATACAATGTTGTCTTGAAGATAAAATGTTTTATGCCATGCGGCTGAGAAATGTATTTTTGTGCTTTGCTCAATTGTAGTCCTCCGCTACGCGTCTGCATTTGAATCGGTGAGTTCAAGAACAGTACAAATTATTTTATAAAATAATTTATATAGTTTACAATGCATTTTTTCAACTATTGTACATGGTGATCCCCTATAATGTCGCCCCCTTTAACTTTTTTACGCTTTTTTATTTTAAGTGACCCAAAAAATTTTCAAGTGTGGTTATGTAGGTACTAAAAAATACTTTTTTCTATTTATAAAAAAAATGGAAAATTGATCAATATACAGGAAAAAACAAAAAGTTTTTTTTTCAATGGATTTCAATTTATTTTTCGATTCCTTGTAAAATTCTGAGCATAATTCATATAACAAACCATATACCTACCTAAACTCAACCGTTTCTGAAATATTCGCACTCGAAATGTTATGTTATGTTAAGGTGTATGTATCTTGTGATAACAGTTATCATTAAATGTTTTTTTAAACTGTTAGAAATCAAGAAGCCCCAGTATACCAAATTTTTTATTGAAAATAAATTACTATAGTGACATCATATCAATATGTCTTATTAAATGTAAAATTGGCGTACTCAGACAGAGAAAGACAAACTATTTCAAATCATTATCTTAAAAATAATTTAAATATTTCAGAAACGGTTGAATTTAGGTATATGGTATGTTATATGAAATATGCTTAGAATTTTACAAGGAATCGAAAAAAATACATATATAGGGTGATCCATTGAAAAAAAATTGTTTTGTTTTTCCCTGTATACTGATCAATTTTCCAATTTTCTTTATACGTAGTTTTAGTACCTACATAACCACACTTTTAAATTTTTTGGGACACTTAAATAAAAAAGTTAAAGAGGGGCGACATTATAGGGGAGATCACCATGTACAACATATGGTTATTATATTTTATAAAATAGTTTTTTGAAAAAAATGCATTTTAAACTAAAAAAAGATTTTATAAAATTACTTGTAAACAATTTAAATTTTGGACTTGTACTGTCCTTGATCTCACCGATTTATTTATGCTTTGTGGCACTTTTATGTGTTGTATGTTCGGTGACTATATCTTTGGTTGCGGACCTAAGTTTATATGAACTTTTTTCCTTAAAATCACCCAAGGATTAAGCCCATTCAGTATCAGTCATTAAATAAGAAATACTCAGTAAATGTCTTAATTTTTAAGGGGTCTATAAATTAAACTTTATTGTCGTCAACACGCGACATAAGTGATTGATTATAGTATAGGCACAATGGGGGCACGAAATTTCAAACGACTATCATCCTGTTGACATCAAAATCTAAACTTTCTTTATGGATAACAAACCTTACTTCCCGTTATCACTTTTCTTGTCATTTTGACAGCGAAAGCAAAATTGTATCTTTGAATCATACAAGGACAACCAAATTATGATGATCGAAATTCCGTGTCCACCACTGTACATAAAAATCAGCACTAAACAAATCATAGTATAATAGTATATTGTAGCCTAGGCGGTAAAGTGACATTTTTTCAGGCTGAAATATGAAAGAAGGCACTTCTATTAAAATCACTTTACCGCTACCGGTTTACCATTTATTTTTTCCTACACAACATGACTGCAATAATATTTTGAAAAAACGGCTTTTGACATTTTAAAATTTATGACACAATGTAAAACATTCGCCGTTTCTACTATACCTTTAAAATTATGTTTTTCTGTGAAAAGAGTTTGACATTTTATGTCTCTTGACAGGTAACAAAATGTCACTTTTTATAAGTTTCGTTTTTCCCCTGAAGAAAAGTACTTTTTTCCCGGATATGTACACATAATTAAGAATATGGCAATAATTAATTAATTTTAGAATATTTTATTATACCTACTATGTTTTTCTTAATATCAAAAAGTACAAATTCGACATCAATTGATTTTCTGACTTTAATATGTTTTAAAATATTAAATCGTCGTTTATCCCGTCACAGAAAAAAAATAGTGTATTATACACGGGTTAAAATATTAGATTTTAGCTCTTAGTGTATCCTTTCCCTAAGCTTCGCGTCGGGAAACAAACACAACCTCGGGCTAAAATCGAATATTTGTTTTCCCTTGTATAATAAATAACTATTATTTTGACATGTGTGTCATCTACAACTTGCTGAATATGTCTCGTCATTAACGAGAGCAACGGATGTAATAGTTATTTACCTAACTAGTGCGGAAAGTGCAACTTTTCCGCACGCGACTGCCGTTGCGTGTTAGGAACAATAAATTTTTTACAAGTAATTTACAGTTCGTAATTTGAATTTCGAAATAATACAATGTGGCACTAAAAGATGATGCCATTATAAATAAATACACATTTCATTATTTCCACATATGTACATATATTTTGTTTTTGTCATATATATATTATAGTTATAGATATATTGTTTTTGTTGTGTAAACATTGAATTTTCCAGACCCTTATCCATAAACGATCTACTTGTATTTATAAAACACAACAATTATTTTATAACACAAAAATTATTTTAATAAAAAATATCCAGTACGACTTGAGCTCTCGTAAAAGGCAGACGTGCAAACGAGCGGCTCCTGCAAGCTCTTTACTTACCACGAAAAGCGACTAATAGCGTTCTAATAGCCATCCTCACATCTGAACTGGTGGAACCATTGTAATCGACTCCAGAACGAGACAAAACACGAGCGGGACAACAGGAGATATGTAGGATCAGTACCTTAATACATAGACGCATGACTTAAATCGAATACTAACATACATACGTAACATGGCCGGCTGCAAATTAAACAAAGCATTCTTTCCCAGAAAGCATAGACCTTAATACATGGACGCATGACTTAAATCGAATACTATCATACATACGTAACCCTTGTCGGCTGCAAATTAAACAAATACTTCTTTCCCAGAAAGCATAGACCTTTAATGTAGGTCAATGACTTGCTAACAATAACAAAAACGAGCCATAATATCGAGAAGGGCTCCACGCTATAAACAAACCTTGCCATTCCAACCAACAATAAACAAGTCATAAAGCCAGCAACGGAAATATAAATACAGCAGTGGCAGTCCAAACAAAAAAAAACAACAAATAAAAAATAGGCTCACACAGCAAAATAACAACACCCAGCCGCAAACATGCTAATGGTATTACTAAACGCGCCGGTCTAGGGGGATTCCGTGTACCTAGGTTTTACGATTACTTCAAAACAACTTGGTTCCTGTGCAACACCCTGTATAGGTAATCATAAATATTTGTTACAAATGCTAAGCCACTCAAAGTTTTTAATTAAAATAAGTTTTACAACAATTTTAAATGCTTATAAGAATAACTTAAGTGTGGAATAAAAAAACTCGACCTTTTAATTGATTAAAATTATTTTGGGTATACATTGTATAGTACAGATTGTCTAACCTCAAGCTTTGCCACTACTAGATACGGAATAGTATATTCGGTAACAAGTTTGGAATACGGCGTATTCCGCTCGAGTGAAAAGTTTGTCACACGAGCCGAAGGCGAGTTTGACGGTTTCACGAGAGCGGAATATGCAATTCCAAACGTGTTTCGGACTATACTTTTTCTACGTTTTCAAAAAATACCATAGAAAAATAATTTAATTAGGAGAAGGTGGGGTTGGATCGGTCTAAATTTTTTACATAATAAACACAGAGATGTCGCCACCAGTGTTTATTTCGTCATCCGATGATAAAATAATTCACTGTGTAATACTTTCAGGAATATATGTAATTCCACATTAAAATGTGATATTAGAACTGTCATATTCCGTAATAGCAGTAGAAAAAAGTCTTTAAGGGAGGATAATAAGTTATTGTTAAGTTAAACTAAAAATACACTTTTATTTAAGTGAGTAAAAAACACGAAAAAAACTTACGGTCCACATCCATGGCGTCTTCGGCGGGTGGCGACTCATCGTCGCTGTCGCTACTGTAGACCGCTTCGTTTTGGTCGCTCGGTTTCTCGATCACCGTCTGAAACGTTTGTTCCCTCTCCTCAAAAATTTGATCGTCTGCGTCGTCGAGAGTGTTTATGTTCTGGGCGCACACTTGCTTGAAAATTTCGTGCTGCTGGACCAGATCGCCTTCGGATATGTCAAAGTTCATGTCGGTCCGATGGTCAATATTCCTAAAACATACAATATGTAATCAAACAAATATATTCAAGGGATAAAAATTGTCCCATATTATTAATAAATGACACATTTGTAATAAAATAAACATAACATTATTATTATTCTTTTTATAGTTCTTTAACCATTCTCCGGACGCGGCGCGGTTTAGGACATGGGCGAGGTGTAGGACAGCGCAACTTGATGCGTTTAAAACTGATTTCATACATAGAATCGCGTTAAAAGCGCCTTTTATGACGATACATCGAAGCAAGTTGCACAACTGGTTAAATTAACGTTATGCCTGGTTAATTAATGTAAGTAACATTGTACTAAAACGTTAAAATAACGTTATTTTGTAATAAGAGTGGTATTAAATGATGGTAAGATTAACGTTATGCTAAGTAAATTTAACTTTTTGGTTAATTTACCTTTTGGTTAAAAATGCATTAATATTTTGTAATTTATCTTTAGTTAACATAAAATAAAGTATGAAAATTAACCTGGTTTAAGGTTTTTTTATTTACACTGCGCGTCAAAATTAACGCATAATAAGTAAAAAAAATCTAACTCTAAAACGCCTTTACCAATCTTTATAAAATTTTGGATAAAAATACTTTAAATTATACCTCAGTATACATGTTCAAGGGTTTTTTGAAAAAATATCCTTAAAGCCCTTTTTTATAATAAAAAAAACGCTCGAAAAAAAACTTTTATAGGGAATTTTTTTAAGTAAATAAAAAATATGCTGTGAAATACCGTATTTTTGTAAGTATACCCAGAAAATGTTGTACAAATCAAACGAACAGTAACGAAAATACAGCGCTTCAAAGTTGTTAAAAATTACCACTTTTCAGCAAAATAATCAAAAAGGGGTTATTTTTACCGACTTTGAAGCGCTGTATCTTCGTTACTGTTTGTTTGATTTGCACAAAATTTTTAGGGTATACTAACAAAAATACAGTCTTTAACAGCTAATTTTTTATTAAAAAAAATTCCCTTAAAGTTATTTTTCGAACATTTTTTTATTATTAAATAAAAGGGCTTTAAAAATATTTTCTCGAAAAACCCTCGAACACGTAAACTGAGATATATGTTTGAAGTATTCTTATACAAAATTTCATAAAGATTGGTAAAGTCGTTTTAGAGTTTCAATTTTTTTACTTATTATGCGTTAATTTTGACGCGCAGTGTATATTATACTAAATATAGTTATCTCTACAATGTGTTTTAAAAACATGTGCCAAACCTATGTTGATATACAATGACAGATAAGCATACATTTTTTGCAACTGCGAGTTTTAACAACAGTTATCGAAGTAACGTTCCAACAAAACAGCGTTCAAAGTTTTCTGTAGTCTTTAACAAATAATGTAATGCAACAAATTTTTTTTGTAAGTAACATTTGTATTATAAGTCAATATGTAGTGCCGCTTAGTACTGTGGTGCGTGCTACTTGATTGTTTGTGTGTGTAACTGATAAAAATTATTGTTAACAATTAAAGGCCTTTTAATAAAGGATATAAGTGCTTTTTAAATGATTTTGAGATATTTGCATTTAAAGTTAAAAATTAAAAAGGGATTTAGGTGCATTTTAAATTATTTTGAGATATTTACGTCTAAAGTTAAAAAATTAAATAAAACAGTAAATAAAAGTGTACTAACTTTATTGTAAATTTTGGTGTAACAATAATTATTCAATTAATACACCTTTTATTTACGTTTTATATAGGTAATTTTTTAACTTTAAATGCACTTATACTGCTTTTATTCTAAGGCCCTCAATTTATTTCTGACAGTGCCAAAGAAAAAAATAGAGTGCGCTAAAACCACGCCCAACGTCTCGACACCATATGGTACGTTATATACCTGACCGAGTATAGGAAGTGTAGAAAGTATTAACTCGCTTGATAGATAGAACCAATGATTGTAATAAAATGTATTCATTTTATTTTATTAAAATGGTTTTTATGTAAGGCGTCAGAAAATATAAATAAAATTACGTTTTTTACAGTATATTGTATTATTTGTTTGAATATTTACACCTTATACCAGCAATCGTTACGTGTAACGTAACTAGGGTTGCCAGATTGTGTCAAAAAAATTTTGTGACAATTTACCTTAATTAAAAAAATGACACAATCAACAATACTTAGGTAGCGTCAAATTCACAATTTGCATTGTTTTACTGTATTATTTTTGTAATTAGGGTAAATTCTCGCAAAATATACTTTATTTTTTTGACAAAATCTGGCAACCCCAAACCTAAACAACCTTATATATTTATATATAAGCGTTCGTATTTTGTTTCTGTATGACCTACCGTTTTATCACTTAAACTCTTAAAAACAATATGTAAAATACTCAACAAGAAGTATTTCTTAGAAGAGCTGAAAATTCATGGAATGCTTAACAATGTTAAATGGGGCTTTCCAAAACGTCTAACGATCTAAGGCTTATAAAACTGTAATTTCTGGGCTTCTATTGAAAATTAATGTTCACTTAAAAGCTTCTTTTAAAGGGTTTTTAGTGCCTTTGAATGTACTGACATCAAATATAAAAAAAAAGAAAAAAGTTATTTAGAAAAATGTACGTGAAATTGTAACGTAATCACCAAAAGAATTGCCCATATAGACATATTAAATTTTTACCATTATGTATTTGGCTTAACCAAAATAGATATATTAAATGGTTACCATCATGTACTACAACACGACATATGACAAGTTAATTTAGCAAAAAGAATAATATGAATAATAATAAGGAATGTTTGTAAAATGTTAATAAATTATGAGATTAAAACTTACTGTAAAGTGTCCTCTCCATCATTAAAAGCATCATCGTTGAACTCGCTATAGTCGACTATGTACTGTGGAGTCAGATTTTGCATTTGATATTGAGAATACATCTAAAAGTTTTATTCAACATTACATGTACTATTCCATTTATGCAATTGCCAATTAACAAAAAAATTAATTACCAGTTATATTAAAAAGTAGAGTTGGGTGTCACTCTCATAAATGACCGTCACAATCAGAAGTGACCATTGAATTTCAAATTTGATCGATTTAAAATTTCGCGTCCAAATTTGGATTGAATCCTAAGTCTAATCTTTTAAGGTTGGGATTCTTAAGCTTGCAAGATTTAACACACAAAACGTTCCGTTCTGTATTTTAGACCTGGTCTAGCTGTTCTGTAGTCATAAAAACTGATTTATTTTAAATTTAAAGCATATAAATTTAAAATTAGTATTTAAATTTTCCATGTCCTTTATTATTTAAAATATAACATCACACCTTTATCCACTCATGTCTTCAAATGTAATGCACTTGTAATCAAATTAATGGTATCATTAAAAAGCTTTTGTTGCAAGCTATTATTTAAAAAATACATATACTTCATTATAAGTAAAGGTCACATTCCGGTTATGAAAACAATGTGATCGGTCATTTGCCAACTCTATTAAAAAGTTATATAAATGGATGAATACACTTAAAGTTATCTTGTTTAATAAAAATCTAAACACATACCTGTTGTTGCATTGCATTTGATTGAGAATAATTTAGATGAACACTGTAATCGTCATTGTCTGAATTGTTAGGATGTACACCACCCTGAAACCAGAAATTAATAAATCTCAAGAACCAATGTACACAGAACAAACCAGCAGTGAATCCTGTAACTTGTTCGTTTCACTTAAGGTTGTCTCCTTAAACTCTTCCAAAGATTTGGCAACCTCCGGTAAATTATCAGTAATGTATTGCCCTAAAGATATTATTGAACACAATTCATCTAGCTTGTTAACTATACTTATTAAGTGGCCCATATAACCCTGTCGAATCCCTTTTTCTTGTGCCCTGGAAGTAATTTATTAGTATTATTTATACTATTAAAGATTGACAGAATTAATGGGAGTGGATAATTTTGTTATTGTATGCTGATGAGTCAGAAAAAACTCACCAAACTGTTAGAGTAGGTAGATTCTAGAAGTAAAAATAATTGAAAAAAACCGAACTGTTGTTATTTTAATTTATTTTTAAGACGCATTTGAAATCGTTAGTTAGCCTCCAAGATTTCTGGACCCCATAACAATTTAAATTTTATATCAGAACAGAAGCATTTAAACAAAAAAATTACAACATTATTTGTATACACAGAATCTGTGTCACATATGCATCTAAGATGGACATAAAAACAAGTATTAGGGTGTACAGTCCTGACTTAAATATTCAAGTTTTGGAAAGGTTGCCGAATATTCTATAGGCTATTTGGTAACCTACATAATTCCATCTGACTCTAGTTCTTTGTAAACACTAACACACTAATTATAACGCAAAGGAAAACTATTTAGCTTTGACAACTAAGAAACTTATCGCAACAGCAAATAACAATGACTATGAATTTAAACACACCAATATAAAGGGAAATGAAAAAGCAGACCATTTGACAAAATTGGAATCAACCTTAATGTTACCCTGGAATGCCAATCAAATATGTATGAAAGGTTGCCTGAATTAAAAAACAAACATTAAAATCATGAATGGAAAAAAATATCAAAATACAAAGGAACATGGTATAGCCAAATTGAAGCAAATTTCATTTCATATATGAAACCAGTATACAAATAATAACAAACACAGAAGACAATTATATGTTTAAGGTCTGGACATGGACTATTTAAAACTCATTTTCACAGAATTGAAAATTCCAATTTGGAATAGAAGATAATCCTCTCTGTGAATGTGGGGAAGAAGAAAGTATATCCCACAAATAAAATTCCTGGAATGGGCATTTAGTTTGAATATGACATAAACCTTCCACATACAATAGGCACTGAAATGTTAAAAGAACTTTAAAACTATACCTACTTAATCACCTTGACATAAACAAAATCAAAATATAGGTAAATACATTTTTTCAGATCCATACAAAACTCATATCCTGGGATCCCCTTTCAAGGTGGCATCTTTGGGGTTGTCTAAGTCGCTTGGCCACCGCCCCCAAGCGTGAAAAATCTAACCTGAGTTGTTGTAATTACTAACTTTCAAAAAAGTGTACCACACACAAAATATTTAGGACAGGCAAAAAATCTACAAAAGTTCACAAATTAGGGGGTAATTTTTAGATACTTAGAGTCCCTTCAAATTCTAATGTTATTTTAAATTATAATGAGCTGGCCAAATAGCTTTTAATTAAGCTAAAGGCCAGCCCTCTAAATACGGAGACGTTTTCAGATTAAAGAGGAATATTGGAGTTGGGTGCGTTCTTCTCAACTCACTTAATTGTAAAACTACAAAAAGGCCTTATATTTTTAGGCAATGTCTGAAAATTTCCCTACTAATCCATACTTACTGTAACTCATCGTTTTCTTTCCATGCTTCAAGTATTCTTTGAATTAATTTACAATTTACTAATAACTAAAAATAAATAAATTAAATACTTTATTTATTTAAGCAAAAGTTTTTTTACTTACATGTTTACATAAGGCATTTGAATTTTCATCAGTTTCATCAGATACATAGGTTTGTAGTGCTGATACAAGGCAATTTTCGACTTGAGTATGCAAAAAATTGTTCCATGGATATTTGAAAAACAAATCTAAAAGTACTTGGAACGTGCCTAAAGTGACTACATCTTGCAGTAACTCTTCGTTATTGGATGATATTAAAGTGGCAAATAACTTAACAATTTGCAGTCTTGTGTTACCCAGTGGAATCTCTAACATTCCCATGGTAGTATTAATAGGCATTTTCTAAAAATTAAAATATGTATATTACTGAAACTTAGACAGTATTCAATTAATGATCACAGTTTTTATTATTATTAAATTATTGTTGTTTATTTTCCACTTTCATTATTCCTGGGAAAATAATTTAAATGACAACGTCTTTTTTTGATTGGATGTCTGACGAGTGTAAGCATAAATTAAAAACGCTTTAGTACATTGAAAGTGTTTCTAATTGTTACGTCGAAAAATAAATCAAAGAATCCACACATGAGTTCAATAAATTGAACTTGGGCTCTCTTGTCTATTACCTGTGCACGGGTGTTCAAAGATCTGTCAAATTATTTAAAATTTATTCTCACTCTCTTGTGATATTACCACTGACTCAGTATTATGTATTAAATACATTTTAATAGTTAAGCTGTACTTTTACAAAAGTTTTTAATACGCGACTAACCACTATATTTTTGTACAATTATCTTAATATACAGAGTCTCCCACGGTCACCGGATACTACAGTAGGCCGTGACGGCAAATTTAGCGGTGACAATGTAGTCACAATAAAACGTTCTATTTTAATTAACAAATAAATACTTATTACAAATTCAATTATCATTAAAACCTAAAATTAACATAAAAAGTAATAATAAGTAACAATATAAATTGTAAATCTGTGTTTACAATTGCAAAGTCATAGTTTTGTGTTTTTAAGTTGAACGCACAAAATATAAAAATGATGGTTTCAAAAAGTGCTGTTTTTTGAGATTTTCATAAAAAATATACTGTAAAAATTAATTTATAAGCTGTTAACATGATCCTTTTTTGATGCTTAAGTTTTGAAAATAATTTTTGAAAGAATCTACAAAAAATAAAACTTGTGTAGATACAAAATACACTGTGACGTTTGGAAACAATGTAACTTTAAAAAATATTCACAGAATCTGAGCTGTAAAAAATCACAAAATTATATAAATATTTAAGGTATTTAATGAAAAATCTTCAAAATACTAGGTAGTATCTTGAGAAATTTTAAGGTCTTGTTACAAATTTTTAAGATTGAGCGCGTCAATTTAATCGGTAATCCAATCTGCCAAGAAGGTGAAGATGCGCATTTAAAATTAATTGGAGGGGCTACCCATGATATAAATAAAAGTAGGTATTACAACACCTGAAGGCATTCTAGTTAAAAATAACAGTATGAAATTGTTTAAAAAATAAGAATATAAAAAATATAAATTAAATTAATTAATTGAAACGCCGAAAGAAGATGATTTATTAACGATGATAATGTCCCATCAATTTTTATTTTATTTATTTATTTATTTATTTAACATCCAGATACACGTGTACAGAAAATAATTTCCGCCTATTGGAGGTAATAAATTACCTGTACATAGGTCCGGTACATAACTTAAAAACTAGGATCTTAAAACTAAACTAAAACTAAAATAATATACAGGGTGTCCGGGAAAAGGAGGTCAATCTGTTAACCATATATTCCTTGAGTTAAAACAATAAGACTTTTATAATACCATTTTTCAATTTAGAGCTTCATGTTCGATATACAGGGCGACAAAGTTTAAAATTTAAAACTGATTTTTTTTAATAATTCGAGTAATTGATAAGATATTAAGTTTAAATTTGGTACACTACTTCAACATAAATAGTTACATTTTTGGAGACCAACAAACCAAAAAACAATTGTCAAATAATCAAAATAGGGGGATCCAGTACCCACTGACTCCCCCTATTTTTTAGTACGTGCGCCAATGACTTCCAAACGGTATTTTTTCAGGTAATCATTTATTGTTGAACATTTTTTGTCTCCTATAAAATTTTGATAAAATGATTTGTTTTTGAGATAATTTGTAAAGTATGGGTCAGTCCATATCAAATTTTCGAAATTTAATTTTTTTTTTGAAAAAATTTAGGTCATGTGATATATCATAAAAAAGGTCTCTAATAGGCCTTTAAAATAAGCCACCATTCACCTTTCTACTTTTAATAGTTTACGAGATATCGCTATTTTTGTAAGTACTTGCAAGACCCAAATTTATCGGAATTTTTTGATTTTCAAAAATCAATAAAACAAAAACCACCTATCGAAAAAAATTCATATATGGGATTTTTGAGTTTTTTAGTGAGGTAAACAAATTTACCAAAAATTATTAAAATCGGAGATGGTGGGGGAAGAACCTTTGGTTGATTTGATATGGACTGACCCATACTTTACAAATTATCTCTAAAACAAATCATTTTATCAAAATTTTATAAGAGACAAATTTTTTTTAACAATAAATGATTACCTGAAAAAATACCGTTTGGAAGTCATTGGCGCTCGTACTAAAAAATAGGGGGAGTCAGTGAGTACTGGACCCCCCTATTTTGATTATTTGACAATTGTTTTTTGTTTTGTTGGTCTCCAAAAATGTAACTATTTATGTTGAAGTAGTGTACCGAATTTAAACTTAATATCTTATCAATTACTCGAATTATTAAAAAAAATCGGTTTTAAATTTCAAACTTTGTCGCCCTGTATATCGAACATGAAGCTCTAAATTGAAAAATGGTATTATGAAAGTCTTATTGTTTTAACTCAAGGAATATATGGTTAACGGATTGACCTCCTTTTCCCGGACACCCTGTATGTAATATTTTCATTATCATTGCGACAACAGTTTATAATTCCAACATTTAATACTATTAAGTTAACAATGAATTATTGGTACAGTTTTTGGTAATCCAGTCTTTTAACATTTGTTTAAACTTAAAAGTAAATTTGTTTTTTGGGTTATTTACTACTTTGATGTTATTAGGTTACATGTTGAAGATTTTTATACCATTGTTGAGACTAGTTTTTTTACCAACAGCAAGCTTGACTTTTGGCAGTACAATACTTTTAAACCTAGTTGTTTTATTACTATTTTTGTACATAACGTACAAGTTATTAAAATTGATAAGTATGGTTTTTAAATAGTAATTTTGATAAATATTAAGGTGATTGTGACAAAACTGATCATTTCCCAGAATTACCCTTAGTACCCTTTTCTGCAAGTTTAAAAGTGGCAAAAGAGCATTTTCATAAGCAGAGCCCCATGCGGCAATTCCATAAGTGGCAAGGCTATTAAATAGACCATATATGGTCTAGTAGTAAATTACCAACAGTGATTTTGTGTTTAAAATAGACTTTAATTTTGCAAAAACAAATAGGAGATACCTAAGACGCTTTGTAACCCATTCGATATGCTCCCGCCATCTTATTTGTGTATCAATAACTACTCCAAGGTATTTTGTACTTTTTACTCTTTTTATTAAATGGTTGTCGATTTTAATATTAACAGTGGCAGGATACATATCTATGTAATTAACAAAAGTTATAAACACTGTTTTATCTATATTTAGAGATAGCTGATTGTCTTTAAGCCATTTTGAAATTAATGTTAAAAAGTGATTTATTTTTTCAGTTACTATTTTCCACCTAGCATCAGTGCACAATAGAGCTGTATCGTCAGCGAAGGCTACAATGTTTTCAGATGGAAGTAGTCCTAAAACATCATTGACATAAACCAGAAATAACAAAGGACCAAGGATTGTACCTTGTGGAACCTCCATAGTCAACTCACTCTTACAACTTTCAATGCCATTTATATTTACATATTGGCTTCTTTCATTTAAGTAACTTCTGATCAATGTCAATGCCGTTCCCCGAATGCCATATCGGTATAGTTTATCTAGAAGTCTTTCGTGTTTGACTGTATCAAACGCCTTAGCAATATCAAGGAAAACAGCAATGACAGGATGACTATTATCTAAACTATTGTAAATATAGTCAGTGACATGTACAAGAGCATTGCTCGTACTTAAACCTTTTTTAAAACCAAACTGATTCCCTGATATTACATTGGAACTGTCAAAAAATTTGCAAAACCTATTATGAATTAATTTCTCAAAGACCTTAGCTAAATTTGATATTAAAGAAATAGGACGATAATTATTTGGATCTTCACGATTACCGCTTTTATATAACGGTATGACTTCAGCAACTTTAAAGTGTTTAGGGCAGGTACCCGTGTTGAAACAACAATTTATTATGCTAGTTAAGGCTTTACTCACTTGCTGTTTTAGTTTTTTTAGAACAGTTGCATTGATATGGTCTACCCCACCATTTTTGTTTTTTAAATCATCAATAGTTTTTTCAACCTCTTCCTGGGTAACTGGATACATAAAAATAGAATTTTCTATATTATCTATTTTAATAGAATCAGACTCATTCTTTTGTGTTTCTATTTTTTGCTAGTTTTTCACCTATCGCGGTAAAATGCTCATTAAACAGATTAGAAATCTCTTTTGTATCTGTAGAAACTTTACTATTAATTTTTATTTTTGTTATAACATTTTTTCCAACCTTCTTATTTTTTATTTTACTATTAACAAAACTCCACAATTTTTTTGAATCATTACGAAATTTTTCAACTTCAGATTTTTCATACTTTAGTTTTGCATATTTTATCAAGTTTCACAGTTTGTTGGAATAGTTCTTATAATTAATTTTCTACTCTTGGGAATATTTGTACATGGTAGAACTTTAGATGAGCTTTTGATTAAGGCATTAATTATATTAATCAAATGGCTTACTTGCGTATCCACATTTTAATTTTCTTTTATATACCAATTTACTGAGGTTGCTAGTCTTTATTTTATATTATTTTTTTACTATAAATATTGGATTAGTATTATTAATAAACAATTAATTTTAAATCATAATAAAAAGCATGTAAACATAATTATACAGGGTGTCCGGGAAAATGTGGGAAATCTCTCGGATTCAGATAGAACATGAAAAAATAAGATGACATGTTCCTATAATTTTTTTCCTACTGGCCATCCTTACGGAGACATGGGCCCCGAAAGAACTCCCCTGCAAATTGGTTTTCCTTGAATAACTTTTAAAGTACTAAATATAATTTAATAAAAATTTAATATGATGGACCCTGGTAAGGACCTCTTAAAATAGTGTCATTGAAACA